TATTAGAGCTTCCTGTGTTAAGAAAACCTTTAGTTAGTTTTCTCAGTAAAGAGAAACTTCCTGCTTTGTATATGTGATGGAGCCTGATGTTCCCATCAAACCAGTCCGTGTGAGACCAGAACCGCTCTGTCTGCTTGGAGCATTTGGTGTTCTGGTACTCAGCTTGCTGATGTAGTGTTTATGAAGTTGGGAAACATCAAGGAAGTTAGCAAAAGTTTCCAGGAAATCCATAAACAGTCTCTAAATAGCACTTCTGATGTACTACCCTAACTTAGTTTTTTCTGAAGGAGTACGTGAGGTGCATGTGAAATACCTCCCCCTTAACTCCTCCTATCAGGTGTTACAAACGTGAAACTAAGAGCATGCAGGCTGAAAATGATTGCAAAACACAGTCAAGACATGGGACAGAAGAGATTTCCGTAGAAATAAAAGCTAAAGATATTACACAGTAAAACCAAACTGCTGACATGGTTCCACTAAATATCACATATACAGCCTTACCTAAATTTATATTTAGTAATCCTATGCAGCTTCTATAATAGGTCAATATGCGTTAAAATGAATGTATAAAAGTTATTTTTTTTTTTTTTTCTGTATAACCTCAGCACAGTTACTGGTGAGTTGTTAGAAGCAAGATGATAGGAGACAGTTATTCTTGAAAATGGGATGCACCATTTTGGCGAGAGAGTATTGCAAAATGTATTTGTGAAATGTTCTAGGCCTCCTAATTAACTTATGGTGCTATAACCATGCTGAAGACTTAGGTCTATGGCGAGGAAAAAAGTTTTTGGACATCCCAGAAGGCCTAGTTTTTGTGTGTACATAACATTCAATTACATCCTTTGTCATCAGTAGTATTTGTCACTAAGTAATGTCCATCATGAAAAACCTTATTCAATCTTCATTTAAATTCCTATTCTTCACTTGCTTTAGTTTTGGTTTAATATGTCATTATTGAAACATTGTAAATCAATGAGCTGGCTAAATTTAGAACAGGCTACTTCCGGAACAGAGCTGATAATGTGAACCTGTAAATATAAAAATATATATATTGCTTCTGCCCTCTCTGATGTTCAATTCTGCAGAGTATGGTTTGGGTGTGGCCACTGGATTTTTTCTGCCATCCCCAAAATTTTGAGTGCTTGGATTCCAAGTGCTAGTGCCATGTTCTATCTAAATATACATTTTCAGAAGCCTAATGGCTGACAATCATCCCTGAGGACATAAGCTCTAATGTATTTAATCAAAGATCTTGTGATACAAGATCCTCTATAATAAGCTCAGTACAGAAAATATATATGGGATTCTGGCTTTTTTCCAAGCTTCTCTGAGGAAAAGATGCTAGGACATAAATGTTGTCAGGATGCCCTGGTCAAAGACTCTTCTAGAGCTGTTCCCCATTCTGCTACACACAGCATGGGTCACAAGAAGGGAATAGTGAACCCTACATTCATATGTAGGATTTCTCTACATAAGTGGCTCTGTATCTTAAAGAGCCATAGTGAAGATAAGGCATGGATTATAGTGGTTAGTGTTTTCTTTCATTCATTTTGATGCCATAGTATGGGCTGTTTTCACAAGCTGAAAGCATCAAGAAGGGAAGGAAGGCATCTAAGGTTTTGGGTATGGAGAAGACCTTCTGAGGTTCATGTCATGAGGCCCTGGGGCTTTCGTGAAGCCCAGTGAGGAGTCTGGCAGGTCATTAGGGGAAGCAGGACTCAACAGCGTTGAGTCTCTGTGGAGACTGGGATGATACAGATCCTTCCTGAAAGTATAAAAGCACATTTAACTTTAAAATATCTGTGTCAAAAACGCTATGCAGCTTTCATTTTCCTAGTATAAATAGGAAGGGATCTGTGGAGGTAGGTGAGGTAAGCCCCTGTGCCAGTGGTTGCCCTTAGCAAGTGGCTGTAGAGGTGGAACAAGCAGTGGGGAGGCCCACACATACGTTGCTGCCCACACGTTGGGCTTTGCCCCAGGTTGCTCACTTTGCTAGAGGTTCCCACGCTTACAGGGATTGCATGTGTCCCAGGCTGTAAATCTTGGGCATGTCAAATACAGCCAACTGTGCATTCAGATCAATACATATATCATGGTCAATATGTTTATCGCTTTACTCTTTCAGTTAGCCTGTTGGTGTTACCCCAAATATTAACAAGTTTTGAAATTTTATATAAATAAAATTCTCTGAAATTTCCGTACATGTTTTTCATCTGAAATTTCAAACCATGAGCAGTAAAGATTTAATCTTATGTTTTAATTGATGATATGCAAATCTTTGTCTCTTTTTGGATAATAAAATTGGGGTGCACTTACATTTTCTGGTGTTCTTTGAAACTGCTAAAAAAAACTAATTACTGCTATTTAAAAGTAGTAATAAACAAGAAAACAACCTAAAATGCATTGGGAAGTTCCAGCTTTACCTCTAAGAAGTGAGATTCTTTTGCATACTCAGTGCACATAGCTATTAACATTGATCTTTAAAGCTAGTATACTCAATGCACTTAGCTATTAAAATTGATCTTTAAAGGGAGCAATCCTACATTTGCCAAGGACTGAGTTATATTAGCTGTCCTTTTCCAGGTCTGCTTTTCATGTATTTTAGGAAAAATAGTATATGTGTGTACATATATATATATATGTGTATATAATATATATATATATATATATATATGCACTGTGGGGCCATTGGAGCTCAGTACGATGACTTCTCTCAATTACAGGGCTGGCCACATGAAGGAATCTTTGCTTTGGAGAGCAGGTGAAATGTATAGAAACATCTCTGATTATCAGATCCTCTTCTAGGGCTTTGTAGGTAATATTATAGAATTCAAGTAAATAAAAATCAGTCACTATAATATCAAACTATTAAACAAGCACTTACTAGGATCATTACCAGGAATACCTAAGAAGTCATAATAAATTATACTGTCTCATGGAGCTTCAGCATCTAGACTGACTGTCCATTTAAAGAATTAATATATTTTCATTTTAATTCTCAGAATTACTATGCTGAACAACATGTACTTTTCACTTTACCTTTCAAATTGATTTACGGAGTTCTGAAATAAATTTGGCAACAGCAAAATATAAGGCAAATAATATCTTCCAATGTGAATCAAAGCTATTTATCAAGGAATGTATATGGTAGTTTTTTTCAGTAGGTAGCAATTTGCATTAATTTTTTTCACCTTAATTTTCTACCATTAGTTAGTAAAGAAGGCTGCTTTAAAAAAAAAAAAAAAAAAAGGAAAAAAAAATGAGATTTCAGAGCAGTTTCAGTAAATTTTTTTTTTTTTAAAGTACTTAGTAGTTAGTGTTCTGAGTCTTCCTGTACATAGGCCTTCCTATTGTCCCCAAAGTTGCTAATATCAGAGGTAATATGAGTAAATGTAGTGACAAATTATACTACCTATGAGATACAGAATAGCTTTGTATATATAATAGTAACGTCATACTCCTTCAGGTTGTTTTAATTTATACCACTTCAGTTTTTTAAACTCATCCTAGAATGGTGTGCAAGATAAATATCATCAGTTTGTGAAATTCCTGCAGCTGACGAAATGGAGAACAAAATTATCAATCTGTACATCCAGTTGAGACTAGAAAAAATAGAAGAAAAATATATTTTGGTCACTAAGTCCATTCATAATAAAATAGTACAGATACTAAAATTTCTGATATAGGGCAGAGGCAATATTAAGCTAATGCTGCTTTTAGTCTTAACCAAATCCTGTCCTCGTTCTATGGATCACAGATTCCTTTTCTTTTGTTTTTTTCTTTCTTTCTTCTTTTTTCTCCGCAGAATGTGAACTTTTAAATAACAAGGTTCACAGGTTTTTAGCAAAAATTTAAAATATCTTTAGTGTATTGCAGATAAAGTGATAGAAATAGATTTTATTCTCTTAGGGCTTAACCCTCCAAGGTTCTGTTGCTCCCATAGATATTTTATTTGCTCCTGACCTAAACAGTTTTATGTAGGAGCTTCAGAGTACTTGGTGCTTGACAGGGTTTTGATCATCCTGCAGAACTGACTTTTCCAGGTAGGCCTTAGTGTAAACTAGACCTAGTTCCTTTTCTGTAGACTCTTGCATTAAAGCTGTGCACAATCTAAAAACGCTGTTTTTCACCTTAGCAATGCAGACTGGAGAAGCTGCCTGCAATTTGAAGTAAAATAACACTTAAGTGTTAAAGCTTCAGACAGGTTCTTCATTTAAACTGCACAATACAGACATCATCCAAGAAGTCTATGTATATGCATATAAAGGAAAAAAAATGATGCGAATTCTCAAACACTACCCCAAATCCTGTTTGTTTTATCTTCAGAAATCACAAATCAGGATTTGTGCCATAATGGAGCTCTCTGCTACTGTATTTAGGATTTCTCTTATATTACCTGTGGAAAAAAAGAGTTTTGCAAGAGAAGGCTTATACCAAAATAATGATTTCTCTAGCTTATCGTACGAAGATTCTGCAAAACACTTTTTGCATGTATTTGGATGACACTATATGAGAATATACTGTGTCATATTTTTTTATAAGTAGCAGAAAATTAATTTTCTGTGGAAATCATATTAGATATATAAGAAGTATTTTAAGCTGTGCTAAGTAATTTGGATTTTTTAAATAGCTTTTTACATACTTTTCATTAGTGCCCTTTAGTATCTATTTCAGTGTAAATACTGTTTGATTATTTATTAGTCTTTATAACTATATTTTAGCATGACACATCTGTGACACGAAACATGAAGCTTCCAATGCAAGAGTTTGTACATAGTCCATATCCAAATGTCACCATTATTTCATTTAAAAGATCCCAGCATGTCTACCTCATGATCCTTATAAACTCTGTAGTGCTGAAATACGTCAACACTTTTTCTTGCTACATTCATTAAAATTAAGCACCCTTACCCTACCCCATCTGTAAACATCAAGTCAATTGGCAGCTAGCACATTGCCCAGTCAGCAAGCAGTATTGTGAATTTTATCTTCTCTTGCAGAAATCAATTCGTCTTCGTTGCAGCAGATGAAATTTCTTGTAACACCTCTGCAGGTAACAATCATTGATACTTCTTGATGCATCCATCCAGGTCTCAATATCCTTTTTCACATGCTGCATTTAATCGTAAGAGAAAGCATAGGAAAGTCCATAATATAAATCTTTGGAATAGTTTCATTAATTTATAGCTTGAGCCTTTAGATTCTGCCATATAAAAGACTTTAGGTTATTTTGCTGACTTTGTTGTTTTATTTCCAGTTTAAGTATTACGTGGCCTAGAAAAGTAAGGATATGCTAGACCTTCTCATAAAAAACTTACTGTGCAGTACAATCAAGATTATAACTTTAAAAAGCCAAATCACTGATGAATTAATGAAAAAAAATAAAGGCTTAGCTGTATGTGCTATGTTGAAAGTGCTATCGTTTTAACTCTTTGGGGGCAAATATTGCCCACAAGGGTATGGGAGACCCCAAAGCACTCACAAAGTCTATCCTATGGATAAGATAGTGGGAAAGAGGGTCTGTGTCTTCAGAGGATCACCCTCTAGTAAGTAAAAGGGCTCAGCTGCTTTGCTACTCTACTGTCGCTGCTGTAAGCATGGGTACAGAATGGGTAAATATGGTATTTATTAATGGTGATTTATAAGTATATTGCATATGTCAAGGGATTTTTTGTTGCTGTTGTTGTTTTTTGAATATAATAGTTTGAATAATCTTAGCCTTAACTCAGGTAAGGATGATGTTTGATGCCACATAAGAAGTCAAAAGCCAAAATAAATAGTAACCATTCTGGGCTGTATTCTACCAATAATGTTATGCAAAATAACAGCTGAGTTCAGGGGAACTGTGTATATTGAAGGGTGGAAAGGATATATATAGTCTGACACAAAATGTTAATTATGGAGCGCTTAATTTTGGAGAGTTTTATATTGGGTGGAATAAATGAGAGTTCAAGAGTTTATGCTCTTTGTGCTATAGTACAAACCGGTAAAGAACATGTATTTATGAAAAAAGAAGACAATAGTTAAAGCTGAAATCTGCTGAGTAATACACTGTTTGCTAGCCACAGTGTTTTGGGAGATATTTTGAAAAGTTCTTCTGTTCCAAAACCTGATTTAACATAACTTTTTCAGAGTCCTAGATCAGTAACAGAATACATTTTGAGAAGAAAACCTGTGACCCTTTCTTGCTCTCACTAGATTTGGATTTTGGTACTCAAAATTTCACCTGTGCCAATAAAGAGAGTTTATCTTCTTTCCTCTTCCTGCTCTGCTCTGGATTGTAGTGAGCTGTTGTAGGGAGACTACTGACTTACAAATCTAGGCCTTGTTAAGTAAGTATGCCAAAACTGATTGTAGTAATTCTTTTTTAATTTATGAATTCTAGAGATAGACATGGGGGTGGTCAATATTTTTCTTGTTCTGAAAGCAGTTTCCTGTTCTGCAAAGTTAGCCCTTCTAAATAATACTTTATTTCTATAATAAAATCATTTCCTTTCATCAAGACAGGCAGAATTTAAGTGTTCAGGACATATGCCCTATGGCCCTACTTTGGCATTCCAGTCACAAACATTCTTGTTTATCAGTAAATTCAGTGAACTTCACACAAAAGAAGGGGGATCTCTGTGTATGTTTATGAAAGCATTTTGGTTTGATCTGAACTGATTTATTATAGTAGAGTATCTTGGTTAGGTATGTTTCTGACCATATGACAAACATATCAGTAGTAGATGACTATTGGTGCCTTTTTTGTTATGTGATCTAAAGGAACAAGCTAATGAAAGCCTGTACCTTATATTCCTTTCATACCCAAATTTTTAGTTGTAAAAATTAAAAGGACTTCTGTCTGTATTAAAAATCAGACCCTGGCCCATATTCCTGTGTGCTACAAATTGCCAAATTTAAGTTTAGTCTATCAAGCCAATAAGTTCATTTGCAACTAATATATTTAGTGATACTTCGTGTTTTAAAACAAGCTGTGTATGTGTGTATCTATATATATCTAGACACACACTTAAACTCCTACCTGTGTGTTTTCAGATGCATGCAAAACATCTACAACACCATTTTATATGCTAGTAGTGCTCCTAAGCTGTATTACACTGAATCAAGTGTTTTAGCCTGATATAAGATGGAGTTATTGCTAATATATGACATTCTATTTGAATTGTGAGAATATATGTGTGTGGGGTTTTTGTTTTTTGTAAAGAACATGCAAGTGGATTTCAAATACTAATATAACAAGTCAACTTGGGGCTGGAATTTTAGCATTAATGGAAGGTTTGGGTGTTTTTTTTCCTGGTAATACATACTTGTTTCTTCCTAATGCACTGCCATTCCTGCCAGGGGAAGCTTAACTCTCAGCTGCGTGACATTTTTTTTCCTTTAATTTGCAAATTAAATCTTGAAGAAATGATTATGTGTTAATTAATGGATTGTGGTTGCATATACACATTTACATTTATCTATGTGCATCCGTTCTTGTGTGCACATTATATAAAGGAAGCGTACACCAATATCTGGTGGAGGAATTCTACCATGGGAAATTTTAAAATGTTTTGCTCCTCACTGAATTCAGTGCATTCTGAGACTAAAGATAATTACTCTTCAGGAAGGAAAGTTTTGTGCTTCTGGGCTAGATCTGTTCTGGCAGGCATGTTTAAACAGTGTATAAGGAGAGTTGAACTAGAATAGAGGTAGAGAAATTATCTGAAAACTCGTTTTGGTTTGATGCTGGAATTTTAACAAGGATCTCTGAACAATTTCCTCTAGCACCTCTGTGACGATGGGATTATTAGGAGGGAATTCATCCTGAGGCTTCTGGCTGGGAGGGAGCAATTGGCATCTTGTCGTATCAGCCTCCTTATAATTCAAAATGAGATCTAGAATTTCCATTTTATTTGTTATATAAATACAGGATAGTATTTATTTTGAACCTGAGGCATTTTTAATGCATTTTCCACAACAGAGCTTAATATGTATTTTCTTTACATTTTGTTATAATGTTTAGTTCTTAAAGGATTATTTTTAGATATCTTTTCCAAGTGCATTAGTCGGTACCTACATATTACAGTTTTTGTGTATGTGTGTGTTATAAATGTACAGGGTCATTATTTCAGATTTATGGTACTCTTATTTTCTTCCTGCAGTTTTTAACTGTTATCCAACTGCCATCTAGGAACAGAAATATCCAGTGGCATTGCATGCCTGACATTATTTCCTTCCCCTCCCCACCTGCCATGTACGTTTATGATTTGGGGATAAAGGAGAGAGAGAGGCAAGTGTAAAGTATGAACTTGCATTTGGAATGAAGTGTGGTGGAAGTAGATATAACATCTATCCGATTGGGACTGCATTTATTTACATTTTTGAGCAGAGTCATCCCCAGGAGGTGGGATTTTGTGTGTGTGAAGGAAACGCATTAGAGAGCTTTAGAAGTTCACAGTCCAAGATTAACTATTGACTACTCTTTGGTGAAAGATAAAGTTTCTAGAACAGATAAAACATTCTGAAAAGTTTAACTTCCAACTCCGGCAAAAACATATCATAAAAGCAGGTAAATAAGGAAGCAAATAGTGGAGCTGTAGTATCAAAAATTATTTGAATAGAATATTAGCAATTTTTGATAAAGCCAGTTGCACAAATCACTGCAATTTTCCTATATATCATTGTTAATCTACCAACTGTAACACTACCACAAATTTAATCCATGAAACAAGAGTAAGATACAGGGATGCTGACTTAAAAACAAATTAATATTGGGTAAAGTGCCTGAGTGGTAACATGCCTGATGCAGCTTACCTCCACAACAGTGCAGAAGTAATCCTGTCTTTATCTGGTACAATATCATGATCAGATGATACTCTTTGAAAGAAATTTCCGAAAAGTGCATATAATCCAGACTGCTTTAGAAAAAAAAAATGCATTCCAAAGATACTTTCATCAGCCTTTTTGAATTACTGTGTAAAGACATATGTTCAGTTGTGAGAAGTTCTTTCATTTTACTGCTGCCAATGGATTTGACTTTATTTCATGAAGCAATTTGGCTGGCAAAATAAGCATTTTCTTCAAGTTGCCTTTATTATTGCATTATGCTCTTCCACTAATCAGATAAAAGCAAAGATGAAGGAGCAGCTGTAAGGTCTTTGTGCTAGTATTTATTTAAGCCTGTACTGCTTTTCCCTGTGAAAAATAGCAGACACTGAAGTTTTTGTGCTGGAAAGGCTAGGAAATGTTGTACTAATGCACATTATTAAACGTCTTCAATAAATTTGAGTGTCCTTTATGTTGGCAGTTTACACTTCCCTTTACTGCAGCTGTAAATAGCAGTGTATGGCTTGTACAGCACTGTATTTGTTACTGCTATTCCTGCTCTTGGTAGCTACATGTTCAGCTACGGGCTCAGCTGATAAAAATCAGCAAACACTTTGATCGTCCTCTCCTCTTCTTTCGTGAACTTTGAATAATTCTTCTCGCTCACCCAGTGAAAACCCTGGCAGCCCTTTCTGGCATCTTTGTCATTATCTCTTTGACAGCTTGCCTGCCTCGTGCTTGCAGTTCTAGGTCAGTTCGCATGGCTAGTCAAATGTGACAACATGACAAGATTAAGTAAAGCTGAGGTGCTGTGATTTGTAAATGGGGGATTTGCAATGTGAAGCTGCTTTGATAACAGCAATAGTGAATAATCTGTGTTTGCCCTCAACAAGTGCATATAAGCATGGGTGCGTCTTCTGTGCTCTTTGTTTTTTAATGAAGCAACTGGGCAATTTTTTCTGATAGAATGAAAACGGTACACCTGGAGGGCAAACTGTGTGGGTGTGTATGACTGCAAAGGAGTACATGATTTTTAAAAAAAAAAAATAAATTATTTTGAGATTATCATATATTTGCAACATTAAACAAAAAGGGATATTATCTACTACAGATCTTTACATACGAGTACAAAAGACTAAATGCAATATGCAAAGAACACAGTATATTTAAGGAACTCGATGAGATTTTATTCAAGTGTTACTACCCCAAAAATGTAATAGTGATACTTAATAGGAAAATGCT